GCATTTACTGTGCAGTAAATTAGTCTACTGTGAGGTTGGCTAGTACCTGTAGATAGTAGATTCACCTTGCAGTAGCTACTGCACCATAGCACACATGTAGACAGCTGACCAGGATCAAACTGTTGCCAATCATCCCAGGCAGGAGGGCACACGGCAATTGCCTCCTCCCCTGGGCAGCTGCCTCCTTGTCCCACACCCTGACCTTTCAATTGGGGTGCAGGGCTGGGAGGTAGGCTGCTGTCTGGGGTAGGGGAGTGTTTCCCAGCCCCTGCCCCTACTGATCAGGGTATGGGGTTAGGAAGAAGCTTTTCTGGAAGTGGGAAAGCTTTTCTTGCCCCCCGCCCCATCCCAGCCTGACCCTGGTGCTCCCTGCTAGCCCTTGGCTGGCACCCAGGGGAGTCTGGAGCTCCTCTTGGCTGTTATATGGGAGCAGTACAGCAGTAGCCTTGCACTGAACTGCTCCTGTAGTGAACAAATTTGCTCCTGATGGGCACACACATAGACATGCTCCAAGGAAAGCTTACTGCACCTTATTTCATTGTGTGATAAGCTTAAAGCACATTAATAAAACATATAGATGCACCCAGTCAAGTGTTAATTATGTCACACAGAGATGACTCTTGTTATTGAGGGAGTGGGATATTTCTGATTCATACCAGTGTATAGGGGCAGATCCAGGGCAAGCCCACTGGTACACTTGCACCGTCTCTTTGGTTCCTGCTCCACCCAAACTTTAAAACCAGCTGGCTGGCAGTGGTAGCAGTATTTCTAATCAGGCAGGGCTGATAGAATCCATTGACATCATGACTCAATATAATCTATCTGATCTCTTCCAAACTCTTCAACCTATAGAAGTCAATGCCCTTCTCTTCTTTGTAATTCTCTTGATGTTTCACCAATAAAGCTAGTCTTTGTTCTGCAGTTTTGCTGTCTGTTATCTTGTCTTGGTAATGAAGCTACTATTTCACAGACCTGCAAATTATTTTAACTCATTCCAATGAAGTTATATTTGTTTTTGCTTCAATCTTTAATTGAATAATACAGCCCTTTGCACCTAGCATATTAGTAAAGATTCTAATTTATTTTTAACGGGAGAAAAAGATGAGCTGTTTTATACCTTATGATGTATATCACCATCTGCAAATTCCTTTTTCAAAAGTCTGTATCTGCCCATGCCAGCATAAGTAAGAAATGAATCTGCCCCTATACTGGAATCATTATTATTTAAATTCTGATGCATGAGAGGGTAACTCTTATTTTTGTTGTGTTTTATTTTGTTTTTTCATGTCACTAGCCATGATTTCTACCAATATGTCTGTGAGTAAATTCATAAGCAGGGATCCTAGTTCTCCATACTAAAAACCTCCTAGAATTTGCCAATAAAAATCTGTTTTTTCATGTTGAACCCCCAGCCTCCCACAACAACACTGATTGCCTAAGAAGGCTGCCATTCATGAGGCCCCACCTTTCACCACTGATAGACAGAGTGGGGCAGGACCACATGATAAGCAGCCCTCTCAGCCAATCAGCAGTAGAGGGAGGAGGGGTCAGCCACCATCTTGGCAGTTTCCCTGTGTGCTGGCTCCTTCCCCTTTGCAGGTAGCCGCAGAAGCTGTGAGGACTGCTGGCTCCCAATGGGGAGGTTTCTAGCATCCTTGCTTACAAGCACTGATTTGCTTTGATTTGATAATCCTAAACAGTATAAAATAGCAGAGCATCATCTCCAACAAGCAAATTCAAAATGATTGGGAACTAGTGTTTGTGGACACATATTGTTCAGCATGTGTTTATTCTTATTACAGCTATACTAAAATGAATCAGACCTCAGATATGTAATCCCGCCCCCCAATAAGAAGTAGTTGTGCTAAAACAATGTCATGATTCCAAAGTCAATAACTTGTACCTATGAAATAACAGAAACAAAATTCCTTGTGACCACACAATTATCTTTTTTCTGGGCTAGTGAAGATGATAATACTAGGAACTTAGGACTGGGAAGGTCCTTCTGTCTTACAAAATCCAGTCCATTTCTGTCACCAGCAACCTTATAGAAGTAAAAATTGACCAAGCCATATAGGCCTGGTACTGGGTCTGCCCAGCTGTGGCTTGTCTTATTAAATTCCTAGAGAGTCTTCTATGTGCCTTTGGGATAGGCTTTTCCAGGTCGATACAGTGGAAGGCTTGGACCATCTTGGAGGCATTCACATTCTCAGCTGGTTCCCATGACTGATCTATTGGTCCATAACTTTCCCAATCAGTAAAATAGAGGAGTTTACCACATTTTTTTTAACTGTCAGGGATTTGCTTAACCATATTTGGCTGAACACAGGAGGGAGTGGGAGAGTGGGGTGACCTGGGGACAGGTTTTCCAGGTAGGGTTTTTAATAAAAAAATCATAGAAGACAGGAGAAACTTTCATTGAGTTAGGCAGCTGCTGCCAAGAAGCCACAAGGTTGATCTGTGCCATGATTTGAGATGGGCCCATGTACTGAAGATCCAGTTTGGAGGAGGGGCAACTCTGTTGGGGTCTGTCTTCAGCACAAACATGTCATGATTTTGCCATGTCTTTCCCACCAGGCAGAACTTTCTGACTATGAGGGTGGTTAAGCATGTGAACAAGATACCTAGACAAGTTGTAAAGACTCCATCTCTGGAAATTTTCAAGAGTAGATTAGACAGGCACTTGGCTGGGATGGTTTTTGTTAGGGATTATCCTGCCCTGAGCAGAAAACTAGTCAAGATGACCTTGTGAGACCCTTTCTAGTCCAATTTTCCTGTGAATATGGAGGCCAAAAGTCAGACCATCAAACATCAAAATAACGGATTATCCAGGGAAAGAAATACACAGTGGGCACATCTACACCTGGGCATTAACTGTACAGTAACCGAAATTATCGTGCAGTACAGGCACACGTCTACATGTGCACACCTATACTTTGCAGTAAATATAGTGATGTATGCTGACTTGATACCTGCATCATGCTGATAGAAGGAGCTCCTCTGACAGTTCAAAGAAACAATCCAAGGCAAACTGATATCTTTGGAATTTTTCCCATTCATTTCCATGGGGTTTAGGTACAATTTAGGAGTGGGGAGAAGGAGGGGGAAGAGTGAGAAAATCTGAGAATTAACAGAAGTTTAGTTGGAGCTAAATGTGTGAAGTTGAATGTATGGTTTGACAATACTGCCACAAAGGAGCATAAATCATTCTTCCTGACTCTAGCCATTTGGGCTTTTGGTGCCTTCCCAGGAAACACCCTGTGTAGATTTTAAGCATTGCAAGGAGGTTCTTTGGAGGTTGAATCCCAAGAGAAGTTTGTGAAGTGATGAAATAACCCAGTCTTCCCTAAACTCTGGTATTTGTCATGATGCAATATTGGAGGAGCCTTTATTAGCTTGGAACGAGAGAGAGAAAGAGAGGCAGAGAAAAAGAGAATGAGTAAAGATGCTAAACAATAAAAAAAGACAAATTACTAATTAGGGAGATGAGGAAGAGAGAGAGGGAAGAGGAAAGAGAAGTGAGGGGTAGACAGGGAAGAACAGGAGGGAAGGAAGAAGCACCATCATATTGAGCTAGACCCAAGATCATTTTCTTCCTGTCCGTGTCTCCGAGAGTGGTGAGAATATCCAGCAGAAAATGTGAGACCCCTACGGTAGCTGTGGTGGGATAGTGTGCTTCTCCATTTTGCACTGGCACTGACTCCAGATCTCTGTTAACTAGAAACCAGTTTGAGCCCCAAATCTGTGCTACAATAGCTCTTCCACAAAAAAGGCTTTTGTCTAATCTAAATATTAGTGCACAGGAAACCCATCAAAAAGTGAGTACATTATCTAAGATATTGGTTTCCTTCCAGGCTGTTTTGTAGTGCCTTTTTATATAACAGTAAATGTCCATGTTGCTTGTATTCTTTTTTGTCACCAATGTAACCCTGCATTTTTTCAAACTAGTTATAGCACCACAAGATTACTTGCTTAGTTCATTAATAGTACGTGATTTCATATACAACGTATGAGTTCTAACAAAGTAAGGGAACTTTTCAAGCAGTGAAAATGTAAATCATTCCCATCTCCCTCATATTTGCTTCCCATAGCTAGTCAGACTCCCAAGTGGAATTATGAAGGAGAAAATGTGCACTAATTTTCATTTCTATTGGCCCTAGGAATTCAACAAAGCAAAGACATAGGAGGTGGATTATGCTCCCTTGCTTCAATCTGTTATACTTGCAGACAGTAATAAGTTTGTACTAGTGTCATGAGATCATAATCTGAAAACAGTGACTGATATCTGGTCTAATGACATAAAGTGTAATTATTTTCCTACTGATGAATTTAGGCTGGTGGGCTGCTTTCTGTAGAGTAACTTTGCCCTGCCTTTTCTGGCACTCAGTCTGAACTGGTCCACTGGGCAGCCATGGGCACAAAGCATGTTGGAGACACTAGATGGAAGAGAGGGCACACAGTTAAGTCAGAGGTGCATGGGTCAGCAAAGTGACTGCTGACTTTGAGAAAGAAAAGCCTAGTTTCTAACCTGGGCTTCTGCTTTTCTGGAGGCAGAAACTTTCCCGTCTATCTTTTTGTTTGCTGTTGTTCTCTTAAATGATTATATTAGTGACTCAGTTTCAAAAGGTGTGCCAGAGAAGGTATTTCATAATGTCTGATTTGTGCTGAGAGTGCTATCCTTGGAGGTCAGAAACCCCAATCCACAAACCCAATCCTTTCTGCGTAAGAAGCCTTAAAACCTAGGTACCCGGCTTCCTAGCTGAATGCCCCAACCATTCAGCGTCATTAGACAAAAGATACAATAGTGAGACTCCCAAAAGATCCTCTCCCTCATTCTTTGCTGGCCTGCATATATATAGATTTGCCCTAGCTTTCTAGGGATAGAATTTCTGTGGGCAAAGACCAGGAATGACCCCTTAGCTGACCAGGAAACAATAGAGTGTCAACTCTAGTAATTCCTGTCTCTTGACTTCATGGATTTCAGCAGGTAAAAGGAACAAATGGGAAAATCAAATGAAAGCACGGTGATGGAATTTGTTCTCTTGGGCTTCCCTGGATCCCACTCTTTGCAGATCTCCATGTTCCTGCTCTTTCTTCTTATGTACATCCTGACAGTCATTGGGAATGTGGCTATCATAACCCTTGTAATGACCAACCATCACCTCCACACCCCCATGTACTTTTTTCTCTGCAACCTCTCTTTCCTAGAAATATGGTACACAACAGCTTCTGTTCCCAAGACCCTTGCAATTTTTCTAGGGAAAAGCAGAACCCTCTCCTTCCCCAGCTGCCTCCTGCAGATGTACTTCATGTTCTCCTTTGGCTGCACAGAATATTTCCTCTTGGCTGTCATGGCCTATGATCGCTATTTGGCCATATGCTATCCACTGCGCTATAGCTCCATTATGAACAACACCTTGTCTACTCAGATGGCCATTGCCTGTTGGGTGTGTGGTTTTATGGTTATCTTAATACCAACATTTCTGATCAGCAGGCTGTCTTTCTGTGGCCTTAATGTCATTAACCATTTTGTTTGCAACATAGATTCCTGGATAGTCCTGTCTTGCACCGATATACACACAGTTGAGACAGCAGCTTTCATTATCTCAGTGATTGTTATCCTTGGCTCATGTGTGATTACTCTACTTTCATACATCTATATCATCACTACCATACTGAGAATCCCTTCGGCCAAAGGACAACAAAAAGCCTTTTCCACTTGTTCTTCCCATCTTGCTGTTGTGATTATATGGTATGGCTCCACCATTTTTCTTTTTGTCAAGCCTTCTGCCCAGAGTTCATTGGAGCTGACCAAAATAGTGAATATCCTGAACACAATTGTGACACCATTGCTAAATCCTTTCATCTATACTCTGAGAAACAGGGAAGTGAAGAAAGCCTTGCGTAATGTATTCCATGGGATGTGAACTTATGTCCATGTGCCTCAGAGACTATTTAAGTCAACAAGGTTGTGTTAGTAGTTCAAGCTGCACCTACTTGAGAGACCATATATTTATCCCTGAACAACCATGACAGCTGTATTTCTCTGTGACAATGGAGTTCACCGCATAATGTATGAGAAGTAGGAACCAATATTTTTTGATGGGGGAGTTTTTAGTTGTTGAACAAACTCCAAGAGGAAGATGAGTGAACATAGTTTCTCACAATTTGTAGTAAACATTATGATCTTTTCTGTGAAAAAGGGGAAAAAAAAGGTTTCCACTGTAAGAATCAGCTTCTCAACACTGATATCCCTTATACCAACAGAAACATCCCAATAATAAAAACAATATCAATAAAAATCCATAAGTTATCCCATACAAAGTTAAACTGACAAAAGAGAGAAGACCCAGAGACTCCATGAAAACCATTAGGAACCTATCTTTTATACTGATTTTACATGGAATCCAGTAATATAATGATAGGTGGCAGAATAGAACTATAACTTACCAAATATATCATGCAAAGAAGTTAAATAAGTTAGATGAAAGTCTGCCAGGGTCTCTGATATGAAATTTTAACGTATGTTGTGAGACAGGGAAATTCCAGAGGATATACTAGCAGCTATTCTTATCCCAGTATTTGAAAAGACCGTAAAAGAGTACCTCAGAACATTTAGATTGGTTAGCTTGACATTGATGATAGTCACGAAGATGGAATATCTAATATTGACTCTATTGATAATGAGACTTTAAAAATAGAAATGCCCAAGTCCCCAGATAATTGTGAATATTAAACGCTGGTGGTCCCTGGCACATTTTGGTGATTTCATCTTAGGGCTAAGATGAAGGCATATTATTACATGAGTAAAAGTGCTGATGGCTTTCCTGGGATTTGAGCAAAGTGGAATAGGTTTACACTTAGCAGGAGATCTGCTCACTTATTAGGAATGTAAGTGGACTTAAGCATTAAAGCAAGATTTTTTTTTCACTTTGTCCAAGTCCAGAAAATCCATTAATAAATCTACTTCTGTGATACATCTTCATCTGAGCCTTAAGAGCGAGTCACAAAAAAGTTTCAAGGAGAAGGTAGATCCATACCCCCCCACCTTTTGCATTCACTGTTTCTCAGTGTCTTAAGAAGCATAGAACAGAATTAAACTTATTAGGGACCCAAATTTACTTTCAACTGTAATAGATAGAATACATTTTGAACCCATGCTTGTAAGCCTTATAGATATTGTCCATAGCCATGAAAGGCAACACATAGACTGCAAAACCCTTCATCATTCTTCATAGTTACAGTTGATTAAAAAGTTAAACCTTAGTTTAATAGGATGAATAAACTATGGTGGCCACAACCTTTATCTTGTTCAGGATAGTTGTCCATGTGCCAATGAAGTATAGGCCCACTACTCTATCAGAAGGACTGCATCCTCCAAAACAGTGGGTCTGAAAATGAGTTGGTGTCATCGTGAAAACTAGGTGAAAAGGTGCTGGCAGACTGGTGCTAAGGCAAAAATAAATAAATGTATATAAAGGGCCTGTTTTGACACTTAAGAAACCCATGAAAATCCCACAAAAAGCACATGGAATACACATAAGTCAATGATGTTTTATTAGGATTAGTGTCTGAACTAGATGTAAGATTATTGTAAAAAACCACAACATACAACAAAATTGAAAATGAAGCCTCCCATTCTTGAGCTGAGAAATATCGTCAGTTTACCTAGTACTACATTTATCCTGCAAGTGAAATTCCAAGCTCATCTGGTGAGTGGCCTGATAGGTTCTCTGTAGAGATTAAAATGTCTTCTCTCCATTCATTGTGTGTTGTAACAGTTCTACATGAATATTTAAGTGCAGGGATGACTTTCCAAATATTGAATTATGAAAACAGGTGTAAAAAATCCTAGTTTATTATTTGAAAACTGAAGACTAGGTTCATCAAGGGAATGGGAGATTGAGTATGGAGTGACCCACAGAACACTGAACCAAGAGACACCCACAAGATCAGCCCAGGTATGTAGCAAAGATCCTATTAGACAGCACTTTAAGGGGGGACCAGGAACATCCACCAGAGGAATTAGGTGTATATACACAAATGCCAGAAGCATGAGAAACAAGCAGGAGGATCTAGAGCACTTGCTAGCAAGCAACAACTTTGACCTAGTGGAACTAACTGAAACCTGGTGGGACTCTTCTCATGACTGGTTGGTTGGAATAAAGAGTTATAGATGGTATAGGAGAGATAGAGTAGGGAAAAAAGGTGGGGGAGTTGCTCTTTATGTCAAAGAAGAGTACACATCTTCCCTAATCAAATTAGGGTCAGAGGGTGGTCAAGCAGAGACTCTGCAGGTTAGGTTCCGAGGGACTTGGGGTGAAAGGGATCTTGTGGTGGGGGTCTACTACAGGCTGCTGCAACAAGATGATGAACTAGACCAGGAATTTTCCAAGCAGCTCGAAGAGGCTGTGGGGTCTAGAGATATGGTCATCATGGGGGACCTTAACTACCCAGACATATGCTTGGAGGAACAGTCAGCTAGGTCTAACCACTCTCACAGGTTCTTAACCTGTATTCAGGACCTCCACCTAACACAGGAGGTAAAGTGTCCCACCAGAGGCAATGCCTTGCTCAACTTGGTGTTGGCCACAGGGGAGGACCTGGTGGGGGACCTGCGGATTCAAGGCAACTTAGAGGACAGTGATCACCAATTGATTCAAATCACTATCCAGTGAAGGGTGAGCATTATACCCAGCAGGGCACAGGTGCTAAACTTTAAAGAAAGCTGACTTTAATAGACTCAGGGGATTGGTTAGCAGGGTGCTAGGAGCTAAGAACTTGGATGTGCTGAGGGTCCAGGACGGGTGGACAATGAGCTAACAAAGTCCCTGAGGAGCTTACTTAAAAGCATCTGGGCACCTACATGCACCTTTGCTGATCAAATCCTGTTTTCATTCTGGCCCACTTAAATCAGCAGGCTGGACCCAGTGGCCTGCTGTTCATCCCTGGGTGACGTCCTGCGCCCTTTAGGTCATACTGCTGCATTACAAGAATCCCTTTCACTTCAAAATCAACGGAAATATCTACCTATTTTTCTGTGCTTCTGAGTACTGCAAGGCTCCAGGGAATGCATCCCATGCCCTATGGGATGAAACGTAGTTAATTTGCTTAGCTTCTGCTTCTAAACTTTTGGGCAATGTCAGCTTGCAAACCTAGTTCATTGGAATAAATAAATCAGATTTAGCCTATTTTTCCAGCTCAGTCTCTGAGTGAATGGGGGCTGCCAAGGTGTCTTTGCCTTTGACCTCTAGTTCCTACAGCATTAGGGGAAAGAGAGATAAGATAGAACAAAAGATGTATTATGAGTAAAGAATCCTGGCACGTGTCAAATGCATCAGAGGTTGAAGAAAAAGTCCACAGGAATCATCCCAGTAAGTTTGCTATTTCTATTAAATATGTTCTGGTATTGATATACAGAGTTAATTAAAGAGTATTCATATAAATTGCATTCCAGAATTTCTGAGGTTCTTTGCATTAATTTAATTATCATGTATTGTAAAATGCAAACTAAAAGCTAAAGCAAGTAGTGTTTATTATTTTTCTTTCATTAGGCCTTGAACAAAAGATCACATTTTTTATGAAAAGAATCTGCAGTAAGGTTTTTTTAGCTGAAAATTCATTTTTCTGTAAGAAAAAAATGAGTAGAAAAAATTATCTCTGGCCTTAAATTTTAACCAGTTGTAGGGAATATCACTACTGAAAATGAATACAATCATCTCAAACCATTTCACTGTATTCACCTTTACTTGTTTGTATTCCAAAGGAATACTTGTATAGACTGTAAAGGCAAGTAGGTAACACAGTTGTCAACCCACAGGGGGTTTTTTTTATATCTAGTAAAACTTTTCAATTAAGGTCAGGGCTGATTCAGCCAGCAAACCAAAGCCTATTTGTCCAAAAGTGATCGGAGGTATCAATAGGATTAGAACCAAAATCTCCATCTCCAGAAACTAAGTGCATTTAATCCTGCTGCAGCAGACTAAATGCGAACATGAATGTAGTAAGAAACAGTACCTCCCTAAAAGTTTGCAACAAAGTAGAAAAGTGATACAGGTCAGTGACACAGAGGGGAAGGAAATGAGGGATGGTACACACGCCACTGTATAGAGAGGGTAGCTGAGCTGGGTTGAGAAACCATGTTGATTTAGAACCAGATGAGACAAGTTCTGAAGAGAGGTTGAGATGCAATCATACCATGAGAAGTAGAGAAAATACTGCTGCTCCAAGATGGCAAAGGAATAGGGAAGGATGCTCTGGTGGCATTTCAGTGTTATTACTCCATACCCTATTGTCAGCTCCTTTTTGTCACAATGGTGCTTAAGTAGAGTTTGGAGGTATATGTGAGCGTAAGAGAATCATTTGTAAAATGCTTGCTTCTTTTCACAAAAAGTGTTCAACTCATATATTGAAGCAGGTCCTTATAATATCTAAACTGCCACAGTTCCCTACGCTATTAAAACAAACAAACAAACAAAAAAAACTGTGCTAGTTTCCAAAATAGAAGCATTAGGTGCACAGTATAGGAGATGATAGTACCTCTTTACTCAGCACTGGTAAGCCCCATCCACAGTATTGTGTGCATTGCTGGGCTTTACAGTTTAAAAAGGATGCGGAAAAGAAAAAAAGGGTCCAGGCAACAAAAATGATAAAGGGCTTGGAAGACGATTTATATCTGAAGAGGTTGAAAAAAATAGGCATGTTCAGCTTATCGAAAAAGTGATTAAAAGGAGAAGTGATAGCAGTCTTCAAATATCTGAAGGGCAGCAATCAAGAACAGGGAAAATATCTTTACTCTCTTGCTACAGAGAGCAGGACATTAGCCCTGTGCGAGTCGGCAGCGATCTGGTCTGGCTTTGGATCCAGCCGTTTCGGATGGCCACGATCCGATCAGGAGCTCTGGACCAGGTTTCCACCTCAATCTGGC